AGTACACACTGTAGTACACACTGTAGTACACACTGTAGTACACACTGTAGTACACACAGTACCATGGGGGGGGGCGTTGAGACTGAACGTTACTTGCTAACAGCTGACGCAGTCACTGTGTCCCCGGACGACTGAACGTTGGAAAACAGACTGGGCTGGTTGTTATTTGTGGGACAGCAGGTTCAACGACAGGATGGTCTGCTGTGGTGCAGCGGCCGGTCGGGTCACCTGACTGTCTGACTGTGTCTCACGGCCTCCTGCAGCTCAAACAGCCGTTGTTTGTACTGGTTCTTCTCCATCACGACTCGAGCCATTTCAGAGCGAGAGAAGTGACGCGTGGACGAGAGCGATGAGGCCTGAGTGAAGGAGGGAGACAGCATGTGTTTTTAAAGGAGTCCACTGGAGGCAGTGTTGGAGCAGAGACGAGTGAGCGGCCTTACGTCAGGATCATCCACCCGATGTGACTCCAGTTCTCTCCGCAACCTGCAAGAAAACATGGACCTGGTCAACAGAGAACAGGTTCAAACTCTCTCAGGGGGGGGGGGGGGGGGGGGGTTGTGCTGGTCCACAAACGGTGGGGTCGAGGGCCTTTGGCTGCCCGGCCCCCCCACAGAACCAGAACTCCACCATTACCATCATCATTACTTCTATCATGACTACCCCCGACCTCTTGGCTTCATCCTCCTTCTCCTTCATCCGCCCCTCCGCCCGAGCCACCGTTTCCTGGACAGAAGTCAGTTCCCGTTGAAGAGCTGAGCGTTCATCAGTGAGCTCCACCACACGGGATATCAAGGCCTTCCGGGCGACGTCCACTGATTCACTGGGAGGAAACACGGAGTTCTGAGCTCAGTAAACGGATGGAGCCGTTCCAAAATAACCCTCCAATCAGAAGGCGGGAAATAAATGAACAGAAGAGAAACCAGATGGTTGACTCACTGGGTGACTTTCAGTTCCTCATACTGAGACAGAATCTCCTCCAACATGTCGGCGTTGCCTACGGAGGAAGAAGGAAATCAGTAAACTACACTAGAGTACTACAGTAGAGTACTACAGTAGAGTACTACAGTAGAGTACTACAGTAGAGTACCTCTGACACTGACCCCCCGATCTACACTCTCCAAATAATCTGGACTCAGCTCCGACAGTTCAGAGAACACAGAGTCTGTGTTGCGAAGTTCCCAAACCAAACTGTCCTCCTCCTCTTCCTCCTCCTCCTCCTCCTCCTTCTTCTCCCCCGTCTCCTTCTCCTCCAACATCTTCAACTCCTCTTCCAAGCTGTTCTCCGTCGGTGCCTCTGTGTGGGGGGGTCCACGTGGGGAGCTGGGGATGAGGACAGGGTTAGGGCGGACGCCACTGGTCGTTAACACCAGTTCATTTGATGAATAATTAACCAGCGCTGATCCACTGACAGACACGTGGTTTTGTCACCTGGTATCCACGTGAAACTGGGCCAGCTCAGGAGTGGAACTGATGATGTCATCCACAAACTGACCTGCGGTCAACTTCACGTCCACAGCGCCCCCTTCCTGAGGCTCCACGGTGGGGGGAGCAGAGAGTGAATGTGGTCTGTGAGTGTCCGGCGAAAGACCAGCGGATGGAGCCACTTTCACCGTCTGGTATCAAACAACACTGTGTGAAATAAGAACCCCTGGTTTTTACCTTGTCGTCAGCACAGAGTTCAACCAGAACCTGGTTAGAACACGGATCACCGACCTTCAGACGCCGCTGGAACCTAAAGATCACAATGACCATTTCAAACATGACACGTGACCTACGGTTCTTCCTACTCCATCACCCACTGTGACTGTGACTGTTACTATTTCTGGTTTCTGATGCTTTCTGATGCAGTCGGTGGACTGCGGTCGGTGGACTACAGTCGGTGGACTGCAGTCGGTGGGCTGCAGTCGGGGGGCTACAGTCGGTGGACTACAGTCGGAGGACTACAGTCGGTGGGCTGCAGTCGGTGGGCTGCAGTCGGTGGGCTTCAGTCGGTGGGCTACCGTCGGTGGGCTACAGTCGGTGGGCTGCAGTCGGTGGACTGCAGTCGGTGGACTGCAGTCGGTGGGCTGCAGGCGGTGGGCTACAGTCGGTGGACTACAGTCGGTGGGCTACAGTCAGTGGGCTACAGTCGGTGGACTACAGTCGGTGGGCTGCAGTCGGTGGGCTGCAGTCGGTGGGCTACAGTCGGTGGACTGCAGTCGGTGGACTACAGTCAGTGGGCTACAGTCGGTGGACTACAGTCGGAGGGCTACAGTCGGTGGGCTGCAGGCGGGGGGCTGCAGTCGGTGGGCTGCAGTCGGTGGGCTGCAGTCGGTGGACTCCAGTCGGTGGACTACAGTCGGTGGACTGCAGTCGGTGGACTGCAGTCGGTGGGCTACAGTCAGTGGGCTACAGTCGGGGGGCTACAGTCGGTGGACTACAGTCGGAGGGCTACAGTCGGTGGGCTGCAGGCGGTGGGCTACAGTCGGTGGACTGCAGTCGGTGGACTGCAGTCGGTGGACTACAGTCGGTGGGCTACAGTCGGTGGACTACAGTCGGAGGGCTACAGTCGGTGGGCTGCAGTCGGTGGACTGCAGTCGGTGGGCTGCAGGCGGTGGGCTACAGTCGGTGGACTGCAGTCGGTGGGCTGCAGTCGGTGGACTACAGTCGGTGGACTGCAGTCGGTGGACTGCAGTCGGTGGACTACAGTCGGGGGGCTACAGTCGGTGGACTACAGTCGGTGGGCTGCAGTCGGGGGGCTACAGTCGGTGGACTACAGTCTGTCTCACCTTGAAGGAGAGTCCCTGTCTGAGTCCTTGGTCTTTTCCAGCAGGTCTCTGTAGGGGATGAGCAGCTGAAGAAGAAGAAGAAGAAGAGGAGGAGTCATGTGGAGGTTGGTCACATGACCACAGCTACGACATAACAAGGGGAGGAGTCAGGAGGAACCTTGTTGTGACTGTGCCTGAGCGTGTTCAGTTCTCGACCCAGGTGAGACTTCTGCTCCTCCAGAAACACCACTGGAGACGACAGGACACGCTGGCGTTCATGTTGCTAGTTATTATGGGATGTGTCAGAGGTCAAAGGTCAGCTCTCTCACCCTGATCAGCCTGTTCTCTGGCCTTCCTCTCCAACTCTCTCTCTCGCTGCTCCCTTCCTTTTTCCCGTGCCTTCGTGGCTCTTCTCTCCTGTTCAATCTGGTCGTCCAGCTCCAGGTATCTCTGGAAACACCAAAGGTCACCCATGGAGGTCACGACCCCTCCTCCCCCCCCCCCCCCCCCCCAGACTGTACCTTAGCTCACCTCTTGACTTTCTTTCCTCAGAGCTTTCTCCACATGGTACCTGTCCATCAGCTCTTCTCGCTCGGCCTTCTCTCTCTCTGCTTCTTCTTCTCTGTCTCGGAGCTGACCCCTGCAGCTGGCCAGTGCCTCCAGCACCCACACAAACATGGGCACCAGTGACTCCACCACGGCCTCACCGTGGGCCTCAACCACGCTCTGGGAACGGGAGGAGTCAAACCAATGAACTAAAGACCGAGGTCGTGACCCCAGCTGTGTCCCTTCCGCTGGCTTTCCTGTTTATCTGGGCAGGAAGTTCCTGGAACTGTTGTCTGAGTTAAACCGTACCTGCAGCTCTGAGTACAGTTTTCCCGCCTCCTCACTGACGATGTCGGGGTCCAACTCCCCCTCCCCTGAACCACAGAACTCCTCCCTCTCACTGTACTCCATGTTGTACTGTAATACTGCAGTACTTCCTTGTGTGCTGCAGGAACAGACAGGATTTTGTCTGTGGCCCAAAAACAGTTCCTGGTCACTAACTAACTCAACTAGTTTTTCTAGCTTTCTGACATTTTTCCCAGACGAAGGTTCAATTCCCACGGTTGTTGATAAGAGCAGCAGAGTCAGCCGCCGGTTTTTCTCCTGTCCATCGGTTCTCTGCAGAAAAAGACGACAACAATAACGATGACAACAACAACAACAACAACAACAACAACAACAGAAAAGGTAACGTCACCATGGTAACACGTCATGTTGACAACACCAAGTGGACGGTGTGGGAATGACAGTCAGTAAAAACCGACAGAGTTCAGGTTCAACAGGGATTAGATGGTACTCTGAGTACTCAGAGTACTCTGAGTACTCTGAGTACTCCACTCCTCCACTACCATCACCTCCTCTACTGATAAACTCTCGGCCCGTCGTGGCTCAGACCTTCATCAGTTCTGGAGGATATTTCAGTGGTTTAGGAAGTGGACTTGGGTCCAGAAGGTTTCAGGTTCCAGTCCACCAGCTTAAAGCTGCACCCCCCACCACACCCCCACCCCCACCCCTTAAAAGCAGGGGTCACATTTGGTTATGTGTCACAATAAGAAGTAGTTCACTTTCACTTTCACTGAGTACACTGAGTACACCAAATACACCGAGTACACCAAATACACTGAGTACACCAAATACACTAAATACACTGAGTACACCAAATATACCAAATACACTGAGTACACTAAATACACTAAATACACCAAATACACTGAGTACACGGAGTACTTGCACCTGCTCCGTCCGCCGTGAACACTGACTGTCTGTTTCTCCGTCAGTTCGTTAAACTAACCGACACCGAGAACTGTTGTTCACTCCGGTTGTTCACTCCGGGTGTTCACTCCGGTGACTCCTCTGACAGAGACACCTTCACAGAAACTTCTCCTCCAACTTTTACAAAGTTGTAGTTTCGCCGTGGACCAGTCAACAGTCCGCTGGTCCGCTGGTCCGCTGGTCCACAGTCCACTCACCTGGTCCTGGTCCCGGCGGCATGTTTTCATTTGTCGGCTGAAAAACTATAGTCCTGTCGGGTTGTCGTCCAGACCCGACATCAATCTCACAGAGCCGACTTCTCTGAGGGCGTGACGTTGAATCTGACTGACGCGAACGTGAGGCGCAGTGGACCAATCAGGCTGCCGTGTATGTCGCCTGCAGCCAATAATCGAAGAGCAAAGGTGGGGCAGATTTTTAGAGACACAGGAAAGTTGAAACTTGAACGACAACACGTGACCGTGGTCAGGTGACCTGGCTGAGCTCCCGTTCAGAGTACCTGTACAAATACCACACGTACTTTGAACCACTTACTCTCATTCGGTATGTTACCGACCTCAGATGTGTTGACCATTTAATACTACAACTAGTAGTAGTACTACAACAACTACTAACGATAACTACAACAACACCAGCCAACACACGGGGACTGGTTGTTTATAGTAACAGTGACGTCACTGTTAGCACTGATGTGTGTTTAAAATACGGTTAGTTCACAGTAGAAACATGACCGTGGAACTACGATTAGTTTCTCATCCAGTAGGCGGCGGTACTGTACGTTCTTTACACTCTGGAGGCGTAGGGTTGTGAATGAGTGTGTGAAGTATTCTGCAGTACCGTTCACGTCCTCGTGGTGGCTTCTGAGTCAACACACAGTGACCTGCAGCTGCATCTGTTTACCTTCAGTTTTTTCATCTCCAGATTTGTTTTTTATTTATTTTTATTTTTTCATTTTTTTTAAAACACAACGACAGGTATCGGTTCTGAGGAGCCAACAGGATGTGGGTCACCAGAACTTGACTGAACCAAGGGCCGTGTCTCAGTGCATTGGTGACCTCTGTAGGTTCACAGAGGTACTGCATGTGTCTCATAACAACGTTTAATAGATTTAATAGAATGTCTTTAAATACAAACAACACAAATCCAGTGAAGAAAATAAAGATGAAGTGAAAAATAAAAGAGAGATGATCTCACACAAACAGGGGAGAGAAGGGGAGAGGAGGGGAGAGGAGGGGAGAGGAGGAGAGAGGAGGGGAGAGGAGGAGAGAGGAGGGGAGACCCAGGGGAGAGGAGGAGAGAGGAGGGGAGACCAGGGGAGAGGAGGGGAGACCCAGGGGAGACCCCCGTATCAGATCCCTATATGGACGAGGTCACACACGGGGGGAGGACGGGGCTACACTGTGACTCTCTTAATCACCCTCCCAGTCTCCACCAGGACCTCCTTCCCGTCCTCCCGCCGCTCCTGCCTCCTCTGCCTCTGGGTCCTGGTCAGGAGTCTGTGGGCCGCGATGCTGCCCACGACCACCACACACAGAGCCAGGATCACCAGTCCCAGTCCCAGCAGGTGAGAAGTCCCCGTCCCCGAGTGGCTCACTTGGTCCCACGCCCCCACAGCCACACAGCTGAGCCCAACCAGACTTTTCCAAAAGCAGAACGCCAGCATACAGGCCCTGCAGGAGTGTTCGGCCCCCCCGGTGACCACGGTGATGCCGGCCACCGAGGTCACCCCCCCGGGTAAGGTCAGTGTCTCTGACTTCAGGTGGCAGGTGACAGGAGAGGTGATGTCAGTCAGAGCGGAGGGGTCCAGGGTCTCCATGTGAGTGGTCATGGTTGGTCCGGTGGTTCAGTGTGGCGCCCCCTGGGTCCTGGGGCAGGAACAACAGACGTGTGATCAGAAAAGTTCCTGCTGCAGAGACGCATCTGTTCACAACTTCGGTTTTTTCTTGTTCTTGAAAAACTAAAATCAACTCTTGATTATATTTTCAGTGACCTCTGACCTGTGACCTCTGACCTGTGGTTTCTGGTGGTTAGTTAGATTAAATATAATTTCATCAATTCATGTCAAAAACTATTTTTTTTTCTAAATCTAAAACTAAAACAGTTCTACTTCACTGATCAAATCAGTGACATCAACAGGTGAAGAGGCGTGTTTCTGTTTCTTACCTGTGTGTGGAGTCAGGAGTACTGCAGTACAGTTTGGCAGGTAGTAGTGGTAGTATTGGTATCGTTTGGGGAGTTCCTTTGCCTCAGGTCACCGAGTGTAGAACTGAGACCAGGGGCCGAAGGACCGGGACTTTTATCAAATCCGTCAGGACTGTGTGGAGGTATTTGTTTGTTCCTGGAGCTCAGAGGAAGAACTCGTCTGTCATTTAGTGTCATTAGAGAAACCATTAGCAGATATTTATCTGGGAACTCCTCCCTTCCTCTTTTTCTCCTTCTGTCCAGGGTTTGTTTGGACTCCACTTACAGTCTTATCTTAAAGAAAGTAAAAACACACACCGTTTCCTGTTCAGTATTGCAGTTCCTTCTTTCACCAGCCTCAACCACTGTAGTACTTTTCTTTCAAAAGAACGTGTATTTGTTGTTTTTTCTTGTACTTTTTATGTGTTTACTCCTCAGGTTAGAACAACATGAATCTGTGTGTGAAAACAGAAAAACATCACTGGTTCTAAACATGTGGCCCAAGGTCTGGGCCACATGTCAGCAGCAGCAGAGATTCTATTGGCCGTGACCTGTGGGGG